TGAGGATACTAATGAACACTTGCAAGAAAGTGTTCCAAACTTCAAGCCTTAATGGGTACAAAACCCTAATGGGCACAAAAAAACCCTAATGGACACAAAACCCTAAGGTTAAAAAAAATTTAGAGAAAACCTAAGGCTCTGATACCATGTAGAAACTAAGGTTTGAGAGAACCAGATAGATCTTATTCTCATTACTAAAGTCTATATATATAGACAAATATACAAAGTTGACCTAATCCTAGAAGGGGAAGGTAAAGGACAAATGAATACATATTATTTACAAGAATGTAAAATATACTAATATATACTCTAACAATTTCATTAATAAAAATACAAATTCTCACAGAAGTAAGGCAATGCAACATGATACATCTACTATCTCATCGTCATTCTTGCACAGAATGCACAAAGGACATAACAGAAAGGGATTCTTCTTCTGGATTTTGTCTAAGATGTTCAATTTGCAATGGGAGTCCATCGCATGTTGCAGCAGCCAATTTAATCCCTCTGGGTCAAACAAATTTTATGTCAAGGATCTAACTGCTTTATGGCGTGGCGCGGTGTCTTCATGAGTAGAGGCCCATGGTGTTTTCTGGGAAGCTGCACATAAAATTTTAGCATGCCGATCAATTTGTTTCTGCTAAACAAATATTAATATAAAAGGTGTTTTTTTTTTTGGTTTATTATAAGTTGTTAAAAGGTTAATTGAGATGCTCTTTCTTTTCTTTATCTTATTGAAAAAAATTATTCAAAGATACAAACTCCCATAGGAGTGAAGAAGAAGAATTAATAGAGATGCTCTTGTTGATCTTCCTACCAATCAGATTTTGCATGGTTTCGAGACTTGGAACCTCCGGTTTTTCTAACTCCAGTTATTTATTTGTAGGTGTTAATTTTTCGAAAGCCCTTTTTGTCCCTAGCATGTCAACATATACCAAAGTTACTTCCAGTAATTCAGTAAGTTCATCAGATATCATGAGCAAGGACTTGTCATGGCAATTCAACCTCCAGAGAATTTGGGAGAAGATTATGCATGGGAAGGGTATTGTTCCTCCTTCTCTTTTTGTTCGCAAGTGTGCACAATAATTAAATATGTTATGTTGGTTCTTTGCCTATTCTTTATATGCTGCAGTGATGACTGTCATGCTTAGTCCACGAAAGTGGTGAATATTTGTTTGGTTCTATCCAATCTAGCTGCAGCTGATATATTGTTTGATATAGTGGCGATTAATAGAAATTCTTTGAATTCTATGTGGAATATTATATCACTGCAATAATTTTTTTAATATTAATAACTAATGTTAGGTATTGTTGATGGAGAGAATACATAGGGTTTAGGACTATCTTCCAAGATAACTCCTTATACCAAAACTCTCTTTTAAGTCTAACCAGAATACCCTTCGCTCCCATCCTACCTCCCTACATATTCCCTGCCCTTACAAAACAGAAACGCTCCCTCTCGAGTAACAAAATCATGAACTCCCTTTGTAGGTTTTATTGTCTCTCTCCTAGCCAATGTAAACTAGATTTGAAGGTTTTTGTTGAATTAGTTAGAAGTTAAGATTATGTGGACTTAGTTAGAAGTTGTTTTAAAGTTGTTTAGATTTTGTGTTTAAATTTAGCAAATAAATCT